TTTTTTAAATGTTTTAAATAGCCCCTTGAGAATTAATAAATATAGATTCGCGCTTCTATTTTTTACGTTTCTCAGCACCTGAATCAAATTTCATTCCTTCTCCCATTTTGAAATTCTACGGTTATGAAATAAAAGATTATATGGCCTCTCCTAACAATTAAATTCACTAAACGTTATTTTTATATTAATCTAACTTATTTATCATTTGGGACTGAAATTAGCATATTTAAAGTACATAATTAAAAATTTAATAGTCGAATCTAAATCTTAATTAAAATAATAACTAAATCTAGATGAGAGTAATTTAAAGTGCACCATCGAAAGGTCTGTGTATGAAATTAAGACTATGGTTTAAAATTTTTTATTTAAAAATAGACTTATCAGAATATACAAAGAGTGCCTCATAACAATTACAACCACAAAACATGACCAGTATGAGAAAATATACTAAATATTAATCAAAATCATCTAAGAAATCGTTATTAAAAATAAATTATTATATTGTGTTACGACTATCTTGTTTCTTTGCTAATAGAAAATTTAATTAAATTCTTATTAAAGATTATTTATGAATAGAAAAATAATTAAAATATCAAATTTCTTAACTAAAAAATAAACAAAGTTTTTTTTTTACTAATACATAAATCAAATTTTTTTAATATAATACATATGGCTATACATGCCAGACCTTTTTTCAAAATTCATACATGGATTTTTTTTACAAATAATGTCTTATGTATAATATACATACACACCTTATTTTTCAAGAGGCTAAAAATAATTGAGTAAAATTGCAAAGTTTGGCGGTCCTAAAATTGTCTAATTTTAGCGGCCCAAGATGGCTACCCCTCTCGCCTAACCGTCTGTACGGCTCTGTATATGAGGCTCAATCTGAAGATATATATTATGGTATATAATGTTCTAATACAATTAGAGATACCATTTAGGTATGGATTCTGATGATGATGCTATAGCAAGGCTGATTATCGGTTGCAACAATCCATATAAAGGTATATTGGTTAATGAAGGGGAAAAAATAATATAATTTTATCACCTTTATAATTCTTTACTTAAAAAATTTTTTATATTAGAAATCACAAATATTTAATGCTCTTTGATATTATAAATTATAATTATATTCATCGCAAATTTAATATTTTAATAAATAGGTAAATATTTTGTACTAAAAAATATTTGCTTTAGCTTACCAAATGTCTTGTATTGTTTTACCTATTTTATTTATATTTTAGTATTAGTATGTGTATATTAAATGATAAAATATGAAATTTGAATATAAGTTCAGTTTGCAAATTTCAATTTAAAAAGTATATTAAATTTTTAAAAACCCTATAAATTATTTTAGTTGAGCCTTCTGGGATTGTAAAGGCTAGTGACACCCCTGTTCATATTGCTCAAACAAATATCATATTTACAAAATTGTTTATACTTACCATGACATTTTTAATCATTTCCCATTTATTTCTTAAAACATCCAATAGATTAGGTTAGTTGCCTCGTCGTCGCTAATTTAATAAATTAGATTACATTCATACTTATATTTACATCCATGAGTGAGCCAATATTATATGAGATTCTTTTATACAACATTTATTTATCCATAATCATAATAATGAAACCATAATATAAAACGGATATCCAAATATAATAGATGATAGGGTGTTAGGTAGTTAACCTAACCAAATATTATATTAAATCATAAACATATATATAATCATTAGGCAAATTGAAGGTTGCAATAAAAATCGAATGTATTGAAATGTTCTTCAACTTTATTCAATATAAATTTTATTTAAGAAAATTTCATATGTCAGTTTTTTATTTCCACTTCATATATATATGTATGTATTTAGATTTACAAAATTAAATTTCTTTCAAAATAAATTGAATATAAACTAAAGTCCATATAGAACAGACATTAAAATACTAATCTAAAATAATATTATTGAAACATTAAAATAAAAAATTATTTAACAACAATAAAACATGCACCACTTAATAAAAAAAAATTAATAAAATAAAAATTCTAAAATTCAATACCATTCAAATCTAATAATAAATGACATAATTTATGATGGGAAATTAACTGAAATTAATGAAAGAGAAGAATGAACTCGTTTGGCATGAGAGAGAAATTAATTGTACCTTTATAATATTGTAAAGGAGGGAATAAATACAATGTGAAAGATATATATTGCATTATTATAATTTGTTGTGTCCCTACTTGAAATATAATTATCATAATGGGAATGGGAATTAATATATCTTTATATTATTGTTGTTTTCTCATTTTGAAATACAATCAATGATTACAATAAGGAGGGGAATCAATGTATATTTATAAAACAATCAATAATACATTCAAAAAGCGAAAATTGGGCAAAAATGTATCTTTAGAATATAATTGTACCCTTATTAGAAAACAATCTATAAATTTGTTTGGAATACAATTATTATAATAGGAAGGGGAATTAATGTATCTTTTTAATATTGTTTTACCTTTCTTTTTTTTGGAAAACAATCAATAAATACATTTAAAAAGGGGAAAATTAGGAATAAATGTATCTTTTTAATATTGTTGTTTCCTTCTTTTAGGAAAACAATCAATAAATACATTCAAAAGGGGAAAAGTTTTATTATTGTTGTTTCCTTTTTAAACAATATATTTTTAAATAAACAAGGAGTACAATCAATATAATACAGTAAAAACTACGCATACTTTATAAAATATTAATTAATATTCGACAAAAAAAAAATTTAAATGACGACATTAAAAAGGGAAAAGGAGGGTAAATATAATGGAAAAGGGAAATATTTCAATTATATATAATCGTAAAATTAAAAGGTACAAATGAATTATAAAATATTGTTAAATATTTTTAACAAACAAACAAAAACAAAATATTTAAACGACAATTTCTTAGTAATGGAATATTTGAAGGCCAAGTTTATCAAATATCTCTAATTTGATTGATGTGAGCAATCACAACCTGCAGTGGCGTTACTAGGGAGGGGCGCACAGGGACTCGAGCCCTAAGAAAAATTTGAATAGCCCCCTGAAGCAAAAAAATTTTTTAATGGCTTCTTAATATCCCTTTGAACTAAAAATAATTTTTTTTGATATTCCCCTGAACGATTTCTTTTATAATTCTATTAAGTAATATATAGATTTAATTTTATTATTTAAAAATTAATAAGACTATCTAAATTTTAATTAAATGAATACTTAGATTAGATTAATACATATGAATTATATTTTCACTATGTCAGCTTGCAATCGAATTCTGTATTAAAAATAGAATTTCAATATCATTCACTAAATATTAATTTAGCATTAACAGTAAGCTTATTTAACTAATATTATTTAAATTATTATATAACCCCCTAATTAAATATATATAATAATTTATTAATTGACAATTAACAAATTTAAAATTGCAATTAGCCGAGTTCAAAATCACTAATCAACTATTTTATTCATTTTTAAATTTAATTACCATGCCTCTTCTTAAAAATATTTTCAAGGTCCAAATAAGTATAAGAGATATTTTTATAAAAAGTAAGTAAATATAGTTCATAATCCTCTATTATATATAATTGGTTATAAAATATTAGGTAAAATGCCACTTTTACAAGCGTATTTGACAGTTATATAATATATTACAGTTAATATTTTAATAAATTTTACCAATAAATGCTTTTGATAATAAATATAAGTATCAATTTACGTTCAATTTTTTAACGCCATCTATATTTAAAAATATTATTTTAAATTAAATATCTTATAATTTTTCCCACAATGGATGTAATAAATTAGCTATCTTTTCTTCTCTTTTTTGCGTGTTTTTAGAAAAGCTATTTGAAAAACAGTTTTGAGTTAAATTTTTAATACGAGTATATTTTTTTATATTATTACAAACTACTATTATTTTAAGTTATAATAATACACCAACTAAAGGTGGTGTGATAATAATATATAAAATCTTAATTGCTTTCATTATATCACTCTGGTTTTTATTTTTCAGTTACAAAATGTTTCACTTATAATATGGCAAAATTGCTGTGTAAATAACTTAAAGCTTCAATATATTTGCATAATTTCTTCTAAAGATGAAGAGAATCATGATAAACATGCGAGGTAATAAAAAAATATTTTTTATTATTATTATCCTTTTTTATCTTCGTACACACACTATATAAATATTATCTAAAAATATAAATTAGAATACATATATTCAAAACGAAAAACAAAGAGTAAGGTTACAAAAATTATATTAAAAATATAAATTTCTAAACGAAAAACAAAAAGTAATAATAGGTAAGGTTACAAAAATTAGATTATAAATATTACAAATTTTGAATATGTAACATTCTCCTTCTTCTAAAAAACCTTCACACTTTAATTATGTTTTCGTAGTTAGTTTGTTCATCAAGTTGTTTCACAAGTCATCACATCGTTGGCTTGTCCCAATCGTTGGTTTGTTTAAATCGATTTTGCACGTAGGTTTGTTTAAATCGCAAGCTTGATATCCTTATCGTAAGTTGTCCTTATAAATCGTAACTTAATCATATAGCTTGCTTGTCATACTCAGTTATTATTATTATCATTTTTCAAGATTGTTATTATCATCAGTGTTACGAATAATAAGAAATAATAGTTCATCATATTGGATATAAGAATAAACGAAGAATGATAAATCAATAAGATTGTTATATAATATTTTCAGCGTTTTAATTTTTGCGTTTTAGTGTAAGCGTTTTAATATTTAATTTACTTTATGCAATTTAATATTTACTTAATATTTAAGTGATGTAGTCTTTTAAATAAACAGGTTTTTGTTTAATTCGCACAGGTCTAGAAATAGGTGTTATATCGTTATTATCAGTAATTTTTATATTTTTGTCCACACTTCCCTCCTTAAAAGAATCCTTAGAGTCATAGTTAATAATTGTGTTAAAACAGTTTCTAATTCTTATTTGATCTAAATGTCGTTAAAGGTTCTATTTCGTGGTAAAGTAACGTTTATTTTATTCTCCTTCTCATCCAACGGTTTTAATAAGTCCCATTTAATTCTAATATCTCGATTAAACATTCTTTGAGATGGTGTAACTCCTGTAGTATCATTACGCGAATTTCTGTAATTAAATAAAAATTTGCCAAGTGCGATATCTAGATCAATTTTAATATTCCTTTTCATATGTGTTTTGAACGTTCTCACCATGCGTTCTACCTGGCCATTGGATTTCTGGTGATACGCAGATGTAAGCACATGTTGGATACCGAAATTGTTGCAAAATTTCTCAAAATCGTTACTCGTAAAGTTAGTGCCGTTATCAGTAACTATAGTTTCAGGTATTCCATATAGCGAAATAGTTTTAAAGATTTATTTTAAAGTCACATCAGTCGTAATATTTTTAACAGGAATAATAATTGGAAATTTGCTGTAGGCATCGACTATTATTAACGAATTTTTTGTGAAAAACGGGCCCGCATAATCTATGTGTATCCTTTCAAACGGTTTGGTTGCCGAAACCCATGGTTTTTGTATCTTTATAGGATTATCATGATATATGTTACAATCGTCACAACTTTTCACTTCCATTACTATGTCATTATTTATACCAGGCCACCACATGTAATCTTTGGCTAAGGATTTGATTTTTCCTGCTCCCAAGTGACCTACATGTAATGACTGTAGTATATTTTTTATCATAGAAGACGGAATTATGATTCTGTTGCTTTTGTAAAGACAATCCTTAATTATATTTAATTCCAAATCAATGTTTTTATAAATATTATTCATTATTGGCCTGTTGTTCTTAATATCATTTATGACTTGTTTTAATTAAATATCTTTCAAAGTTTCTTCACGAATTTGATTAAAATTAATAGGTAAATCCCTATATTCATTTATTACAATGATATTTTCAACAGCTTTATCATGACATTCTTGTAATAATCTCGAGAGACAATCAGGAACAACATTATATTTACCGGCTTTATACTTTATATTAAAATCATATCCTCCTAAGTTATATTCCACTTCTGTAGTCTTAAGGACATAGTGCTATTATCCTTAAGACCTTTGGTAAAGATGTGAACTAGAGGTTTATGGTCAGTAATAATTGTAAATTTTGTACCGATTAAGTATTCCTGGAACCTCCTTATAGCGAACATAATAGCGAGAGTCTCACGCTCAATATTAGTATAGTTCATTTCGGATTTTAATAAAGTTCTTGACGCGAAAGCTATAGGTTTTTCTTTACCAAATTTTCAGTATGAAATAATACAGCTCCTAAACCACATTTAGATGCATCAGTGGCTATCCCTATAGGTAATTCAGGGTTAAAATTTGTCAAAGCAGGTGGAAGACTAATCAACATTTTAAGATCATTAAAACTTTTAGAGTGTTCTAGGTTCCAAGCCAATTTTTCTTTGTTGACAATATTTCTGCAAAACAGTTCAAAAATTTTCTATAGTAGCCAGCCATTCCCAGAAATGTTGATAATTCAGCAGCTGATTTTGGTTCTGGCAATTGCTTCAATTTTGTCGTGATTAGCATGAATCCCCTTAGCGTCAATATCATGACCCAGGAACCTCACTTTGTTTTTAAAGAACACACTTTTATTGAAGTTAGGTATTAGCCCAAACAATGATATTCTATCAAACACTTTTTTATGTTGTTAAGGTGGGCTTCATCGTTTTTTCCAGTTATAAGTAAATCATCAGTATAAAATATGACGTCATCCATGTCACCGAAGATTTGATCCATAATCTGTTGAAAAATTGCAGATGAGGTCTTAAGCCCAAAAGGAAATTTAGTAAATTGGTAATTCCCTTGTGCGTAGATATGGTTATATATTTCTGCAACTTTTATAAATCGGGATCTGTAAGAAAGCATTTTTAAAATCAATCTTCGTAAATTTCTTTCCTTCTGAAAGTTTAGCTATTATATCATTGATTCGTGGTAGAGGGTATCTGAAATCTTCTAGAGCTGGTTTTACAGTGTCCTTAAAATCAGCACAAAGCCTAATGCTCCCATCATCTTTGTAGACAGCGGTAACAGGACTTGCCCATCGGACATCATTCACCGGCTCAATAATTTTATCATGTATCCATTTTTTAAGTTCATTGCTTACAAGATCAATTTTTGAATAAGGAATACGTCTAGGCGGTATAATTTTAGGTTGGGCATCTCTTCTTAAATGTAACTTGACTCTTGCTTTGTTGATTGGCCCATTAGTCAATTTGGATTCACACTCTTTAATCAATTTTTTTATTTCATCTTCGTAAATAGTGTCAACATTTGCCATAAATTTATTTAAAATATTTTTGAAAGCATTAATCCATGTACGTCCCAACAAGGCATTTTTTCTTGATTCGACGACTACCGCTTGTAAATATTTTGAGATACCTTCATAAGTCACTTTAACTTGAGTGATGCCGATGATCTTGATTCAATTTCCGTCATAAGCGGTAAGTTGTAACTCGGATTTCTTAACATCTCGAATACCAAGTTTTTTAGCCAGACCATGAGGTATAATAGTATGTTTTGAGCCTGTATCAACTTGCATACACGTAACAATATCGTTCACTTTTAAAGTAGTCATAAATGCATTATCTTTGTTATTGAGCATGTCACCAGATAAGTTGTTAACATTGAAATCGTTATCATCTTTGTTCTTTATAGAGTCAACTTTCTCTTCAATAATTTCTTCAATATTCATATTGTAATCATTGTTGTTGTATTGTATTTGCTTTCTATTATTGTTGTCGCCACCTCTATAATTATTTGAGTTGTTGTTATATTGTATTTGCTCTCTGATTATTGTCACTACCTCTATAATTATTTGAATTGTTATAATAAGATTGGTAATTGTTAAGATTTCCGTCACCGTATTGGATTTGTTTTCTTTGATTATTATCATGCCATGTATTATTTCTACCATAATTAGATTGATTATTATTGTTGTAGCGATAGTTATTGTAGTTATAGTTGTTATAATTATCGTGGTATCTCGAATTATTATTACCGTAATTCCTATCATTGTATCTAAAATTATTATTCTAATTCCCATTTCTATCTCTATTATCATAATTATTTCTAAAATTATTATCAGGTCTAAAATAATTATTGTTGTTGTTTCTATTTTTATTGTAAAAGTTTTTATCTTTATCGAACTTTTTATCGTTATTCATATAACTTATATTATCAACATCTGACTTATCGCTGATGCTGTCTAATTTAATTTTTAGCTCAACCATCTCATTTAAAGTTAAATTAATATTTTTACAAAATTTATATTTTATTTTGTCATTTAAGGTAGATGCACGTAATTTTTCTTTTAATCTACTGTCGTCCGAAAAATTTCATTTTTTATGCAGTTTCGATACTCTAATGTATCATTGCATGAAATTCTCACCCGAGTTCTGCTTATATAAGTTAAATTTATTTATTTAAATGTTTTTATCTTGCACAGGTAAAAGGTAAGTTAACTTTTTAGTCACAATTTTTAGATCTAATATGTCGGTATCGGATCAAATTGATTTAATGTTGACAAAGACCTCGTCTGATAAATTATTAATCAAAGTATTTATTTTAATAGAGTCCGATAATGTACTAGTCGAAAAATAACTTAATATTCTATCTAAATAAATCTCAGTAAGTGGTTTAACCAATTTTGGAATTCTGTGTATTAATTTAGGTTTTATTTCCATATTTTATTAATAAATCATATATATTAGAAATTATAACATTTCATATTTTAACAAAAATGCAATTTAATTGGATAAATTCTGACTCATTATATATGTAATATTTTCCATTCAATGATTCAAAACAATTAATCCACAAACTCAAACAAAACGTCGTCACTACCCAGTATTCTAGAGTAGTCACGTCACAGTTGTAGGTCAATTCGAATAATATGTCGTAAACGGAAATTTCACAAGGTATTGATGAGTTTAAAAGCAAACATGAAGGAAATAATATCAAAATGATTTAACCTTTTTTTTCCTTCTTTATATAGAATTTATTTGTATCGTTTTATAATTTTTTATTATTCATTTTTACAGAGAGAAAAAAAAAATTTATTTAAAAAAAGAAAAATTTCTAAAAAAAGAATTTCCATAAGGCGAGTTTTTTTTTGCCAACGGAACACCATGAAGAGAATCATGATAAACGTGCGAGTAAGTAAAAATATATTTTTTATTATTATTATCCTTTTTTATTTTCGTACACACACTAACTATATATATATTATCTAAAAATATAAATTAGAATACATATAATCAAAACGAAAAACAAAAAGTAAGGTTACAAAAATTATATTAAAAATATAAATTTCTAAACGAAAAACAAAAAGTAATTAAAAGAAAGTATTTTGGATTTAAGAAACTATTTAAATTACTTCTTTTTTAAATCAAATATTTATTATTATTCTTCTTTTTATATCTAAAAACATAGTATATATATATATAAAAAAAGTTAATTTAAACATATTAAACAATCAACGTTAATATATTTTAAAAATAAACAATATTCAAATAAAACTAAAATTAACTATTCAAATTTAAATTTATTTAAATATATAATCAATTAACATTCCCCCTCTTCTACAAAGAACGAAGCTTCTTCTCAGCAGTCATCGAGAGCTTGTTGTCCCAGAAGTTTTTTCCCGTTTCGATTGTACTCGGTTTCATCTTGGTTAGCGCATAAGTCTCAAATGTTCTCGTAGGCTTGATTCTATCACGTAGGTTTGATAAAATCGTTTATTAGAGTTGCGTGAGTTTGTACGTTTTTTGTAGGCTTGATATCCTTATCGTATGTTGTTCACATTTCTCAAAATTGTTATTATCATTAATCCAGTTGAATATTGGAATTTGGAATAAATCGGAATATGTAATTTGGAATAGTTGATCAAATCAAATATATGAATAATATGCATGAATAAAATTTTGAATTTCGGAACAATAAAATATGTAATAAGGAATGATAATTTATGGAATAAGGAATAAAATAAGGAATGATAAATCATAATGATTATTACATTGTGTTAAGTTAATCATAGCGTTTTATACTTTTAGCGTTTTATGCGTTTTATATTTTTAGCGTTTTACATTTTTTAGCGTTTCAATATTTAATTAGTAGCGTTTTAATATTTAATTTATTTTTATTTCCGAGGTTAAAATATGCAAATATTATGCACATTTCCCTCTCTTAAAAAAAATTTAAAATTTCACACAATATTTTTCTAAAATAATGATGTTTAATTTTTACATAACTTTGTCTTCAAAAGCTTTATTTCAAAAACATTTTTATCATATTAAGTATTACTTATAAGAATCAATCTCTTTTAATTCATATGTTTTAATTACATTTTAATATATTTAAAATTAAAGTTTTATCTTCTTGTTTAGGATTTATAATGGTTTATATTTAATTATATCTAAGAATTCATTTTTAGGATTAGTTGTTAATTTACAACAATTGGTCATCATTCAAGAAAACAAAAAATAATATTTCACTAAGAATTTAAGTAAATAATTTTTTAAAGGCTTTTTGTGTGGTCTATATCCATTATGATTTTACATTTTAGTATCAATATTTCACTAAGAAATTATAAATAATTTTTAAAGGCTTTTTGTGTGTTCAAATATCCATTATGATTTTACATTTTAATGATTTTAAAAATTTATAACATGCCTTTATCCTGGCATAAAATCTTAATATAATAACTTTTCTTCTTACGTGGATTAGAATAATAAGTAATCATCATTGGTCTCACAAAATAGAATTTATAACCTATCGTTCAACTTCCATATCAGTTCTTTCTAGGTTGTCACATTAGGTTAGGTGCTGGTTATCATATTCCAGTCCAACATCCAGAGCCGGGACACCATGAAGAAAGAAGCTTTTTGCATGAAAGAACGTGCTAACATCTCCATAGATTAGGCATTGGTCATATCAATGGATTAGGCAGTCACAATAAATAAGGTAGTCATAATAGATAGTCATCTCCATAGGTTACGCAGTCTCCATAGGTTAGATAGTCATCTCAGTAGATTAGGTAGTCACAATAGATAAGGTAGTCATAATAGGTAGTCATCTCCATAGGTTAAGCAGTCTCCATAGGTTAAATAGTCATCACAATAGATTAGGTAGTCACAATAGATAAGGTAGTCATAATAGGTAGTCATCTCCATAGGTTAAGCAGTCTCCATAGGTTAGATAGTCATCTCAGTAGATTAGGTAGTCACAATAGATAAGGTAGTCATAATAGGTAGTCATCTCCATAGGTTAAGCAGTCTCCATAGGTTGGATAGTCATCACAATAGATTAGGTAGTCACAATAGATAAGGTAGTCATAATAGGTAGTCATCTCCATAGGTTAAGCAGTCTCCATAGGTTAGATAGTCATCACAATAGATTAGGTAGTCACAATAGATTAGGTAGTCATAATAGGTAGTCATCTCCATAGGTTAAGCAGTCTCCATAGGTTAGATAGTCATCACAATAGATAGTAAATAGGTAGTCATATAAATAGAGTCATCTCAATGGATTAAACAATAGTCATAATAGGTAATCAAATCAATAAATAAGGTAGTCATCAATTTCAAATTTAATTTAATTTATACTTTTTTATTTTAATTTTAGGCAAATTTTCTATATTTTATTCTTTTTTTTTTTTACAAAAACGTAACAGGGCGCCATAAAAGAAACAAGAAGTTAACAAGTTATATTTATTCTAAATAAAAATTTTTTACCTTTTATAATTTTGTAAATTTGGATAAAATTTTGACTATCGAAAAGAAAAGTCAAAAAAATTTATATGTCTTTTTACCATCTCCAATATCGAACGACGAATTTGATAAGTAATTCGTTTACTTTTTATTTTTACAAAAGAAATCAAGGTAAGGATATTTTTTTAATTTTTTTTAAACTTTTATTATTTACTTTATTTTATTTTATTTTTTTAAAAGAGAAAGAAAAACGAAAAAACGTACCACCGTAACCGGGGCACCATAAAAGAAAGTGTTTTAGATTTACGAAACTATTTAAATTACTTCTTTTTTAAATCAAAAATTTATTATTATTCTTCTTTTTATATCTAAAAACATAGTATATATATATATAAAAAAAGTTAATTTAAACATATTAAACAATCAACGTTAATATATTTAAAAAATAAACAATATTCAAATAAAACTAAAATTAACTATTCAAATTTAAATTTATTTAAATATATAATCAATCAACAGTAATAATAGGTAATGTTACAAAAATTAGATTATAAATATTACAAATTTTGAATATGTAACAAAAGATTTTTAGTATTTCAGTTTTCAATTTATCTAACATAATAAATTCTGATATGAGTTAACATCGTGAGTGTCATAGCTATGACTATGACTGCAAATTAACCAGCATCTATTATTTGTGTAATATATAAGTAGGTTATTACTACATTGCTGAGAGTATATGATTGCATATTTTAGATAAGAATAATGGTCAACTGTGTAATCATTTATATATCATTAAAAATGGAAGATAATCTTATGGAAATTTAATATCTCATAATAATTTTCTCAAATACTTATCTAGCTTCCATCATGTCATCTAAGTGGTAGCTCTAACCATCATATAGTTTTATGACTTGAATTGGTCGTTTATATTCTCTTCTTCAAGAATTGTTGATTTGGTAACCTATAAATTTTTCCTTATTAATCCATTCTATAAAACATTGTCTAAAATAGGAGTTATATTAGTTTCATGACCTTTTGTCAATGTAAGTTGCTAATAATTATATTATATTATGTGGTTTTTAAAACCATTTTCAATTGAGGCATATGTTTTTTTATCACTTATAATTCTTTAGAGGCAAATTTTTTTCTATCAGAAATCGAAAATATTTAATACTGTAATAAATAGATTTTGTATTAAAAAATA